GGAATTTAATGATCATTATTTTTTGTTCATCAACACTTTTAATTTAGTTACAACAATCTTTTTGGTAACTATCTTTTCCAATTAATACCAACTATTAAATACAATTTAGTGACCATTAATTTTGGTCACTAATCATTTAAATCAGTGACTATTTATTTCTTAGTCACTAAAACTTCAAAGTTAGTGGCCACAATTTTTTTTATAACTATCTAAGTAATACCAACTAACTGGTGGCCACTATTTTTTGTCACTCAKTATTTTAAATTAACGACTACTTATTTTTGGGTCATTAAAACTTCCAACTTAGTGACCATTATTTTTATGTCACCGACATTCCTAAATAACACCAACTAATCACTAACCACTATTTTTAATCACTAATCATTTCAAATTAATGACTACTTATTTCTTGATTACTGCAACTCCAAAATGACTATTATTTTTGGTCACTAAATCTTTACAAACAACATGAACTACTAAACACTATTTAGTGACAATTATTAATTAGTCACTAGTTTTTTCAAATTCATGACCGYCATTTTATTTTCACTAACATTTCGAAGTAACATTAACTAGTTAGTGATGACTATTGCTGGTCACTAATCATTTCAAATTAGTGACTACTCATTTTTTGGTCACTGAAACTTCCAACTTAGTGACTATCATTTTTTGGTCACTAAACCTTTCAACTCAGTGACCATTATTTTTCGTCACTACACGCATGAGTTTATAACATTAATGACAAAAACACAGTCTTCACAAATTTAGTCACTAGAATACCATTATATGAAAAATCTATTTTTTTATGAGAATTAATGACCACTTAGTAACCAAATTTACTTTTTATCACTAAAATTCATATTAGTGATACAAAAGTAATGATGACCTATATATGTCATCGTCACTAATCTCATAGTTAGTGACCATAATATAAATTACTCACTAAAATTCTGATAACTAACTAGACTCTTTCTCGTAGTGTCTTAGGGTTTGATCTTATTTGCGAATTTAAACAACACCAAGTTAAAGCAAATTCAAATAAATTTGTAATATTTATTTTTCCACAAATGGAATAAACAACGTTTAAAAGGAAAATAAACAACGTTTAAAAGAAAAAAAAAGCATAACAATTACCATCAAAACGAAAAAGTAAGAAAACACATGTTGTAAATAATTTAGAAACACGTGACTATATATATACCCTAGTTTTTATAAGTAGAATATTGTGTTTTTTGGATGTGATATATTCTTCATTTGAGTGGCAACTATATAAGACAACATCTCTCCTTCCCTCCCCTCTCATCATCATATCCACCAAATTTTGTAAACCGTACAATTTCTTGTGCTTCAGTTCATCATGACAAAGGTGTACCCCACTCCCATCACTTCGGTTGTTGTTTCGCCACCCAAATCCTCTGCTGCCAGTAAGAATCCGGTGGTCTTCACTGTTTGGAAGAAGTCTCTACTCTTCAATTACGATGGATTTCCAGTGTTCGACTCCAACGGCAATCTTGTATTTCGAGTAGACAACTATGTCACCGGAGGGAATGGTGAAATTGTTCTCATGGATGCGTTCGGCCGCTCTGTCGTCACTATTGGCCGCAAGGTACGTATATCTCGTCATGCATGTTCATCAAATTATGATTTACAGACACAAATTTGTTCCAAGTTAATTGGATTCCATATTGATTAACCAAATATTTTGTTATTACCAGAGGAAAAGTCTTTCGGACACCTGGCAAGTGTATGATGGAGAAACAACGCTTGTTCCACGGTTTTCGGTCACGAAACACATGAACATTTTCAACACTAAGTCCCTAGCTTACGTTTGCAAAGAAGGATCGTCAAAGAACAACAACACGAGAATCCTGATGTATGAGATCGATGGATCATATGCTCAAAGGTG